TAACGGGATTAGCCAGCTCGCCTATTCGACAAAATGGTTGTAAGCTGGGCATTCATAAGAAATGGGAATTGCAACAACAAAACGAATTGAGTGATAAGAACAGTAAAGTTGAAACCTAGCCACGTTCTGAAATTTTTGTACATAGCCCTTTTTTAAAAACAAGCAGCGCGAAGGTACATTCGTATATAGTCTGACTTAGATAAGTTGTGACCGTACAGTTATTACAATAAACGCTAGAGGTTCAGGTGGCGCTAGTTTGCTGCTGCATTGTGAAGCAGACAGCAAGCAGTCAGAAATTGACTTCCGATAATGCATTTGTATGGAAAAAAGCGAGTGCATTTTCTCTCTGCGCTTAATTATAAGAGCAAATATCACGAATAATTTGTACGTACTAGGCCCATTGGAATATTTCTCAGTCACGCAGACAAAATGTTTAGTCAGTTACAGCAATTTTATTTGAAATTCGTGGCATGAAAAACGGTGCTAAAACCGCTTCGTACGTGTATTTATGTGCACTGTCGGGCACTGTTAGCGCGAACACGGCGTCGGCGCTTTCCAGCATGGGGGATATACGTGCCAAACGAAGGACATGTGGAAAACCAAGAGAGACGGCAAGAACTACGCAGTAACCACAGATAAGTAACTCCTTGTGCATGCAGACGATCAAAATAAGTTGAAAGCCACGTAATATAGTCAGATTTGCAATAAATAAGTACTGCTTTCTTCTCTCTGCTCATGAATATGTGCGACGATGCTTGTTCTGGGTTCAAATCATCACCCGCACGCTCCAAATCTTTGCAAATAGGGAGAAGCCAGAGAGCAGTACTTATTTATTGCAAATGAACAAGTACTGCGCTCTGCCCGATAAAAACTGCCCGACATAGGTAATAATAAGAAGACACACCTTTCGTAGCTCACGTGCTTTATTTTTTTTGCGTTCGAATGTTTTTTAACCGATCGTAAAGATGCACAACGGACTCATTTTCATCCAATGACAGGACGGGCATATTAGCAATATATAAGCACCACCGGAATGCTGGCGAGCCTTGAACACACTCTATATTCCTTTCGATCTTTAATTTGCTTAGAATCGTCGCTCGTTTTTACATATCTTTCATGCAACAGAGGTTTGGGCCTGAAATGGAGCAAAGTTTAACAACACTCAGCGGTAGAGAAAAATGCTGTAACTAAATCAATTACACTTTCACAATACCAATAAAGGTGCCTACTATCCGGTACAACCGAAATGACAAAAGGTATTCATGTTATTTTCCGGCGAAAAGACATAATTCACGCGCGTTTTCCCATGGGAATACACAGGGAGGCTGGAAATGTAGACCGCATGTTGTCTGCTTCAATTTGCAACCGGAAGTCCCGTAGACACTAGCGCCAGCTGAGCCTCTAGCGTTTATTGTAATAACTCTATGGTCGTGACAGATTGTTTCCTTCAGGAGGGCCCCAAAATTGCAACCTGAAAGCTATAACATCTTTCCCACGCGAAGAAAATGTCCCTCACTAATGAGGTGGCACCTATTTTTTAACATTCAAAGCAGTGAATACCGGTGACAGTTTTTTTTTAATTGGTCATCTCGCACGGAGATAGGCAAAACCAATGCGTTGTGGAGAATTCGTCCGCTAGCGGAGACTCCGAGCTCGCCAGGGGCGCTGCAAGCACTTTTCGCCGGCTCTACGCGGGAGTTGCCAGTATTGGCCTACATGGTATTAGGCTGCATTGACTCCGCACGTGCGTATGCCTTTCCTTCGCGTTTCTTTTGTTGAGGATGTTGAGGATAGATAGACGGATGGATCTTAACTGCTGTGTCTTTATAATGGGTGGTAACTGGAGCCACCTAGCCTAAGAAAAATAATATTATTCCCAGCTTAAGTTATCAGAAAGAATAAACACAAAGACGGACAAGATATCGTATTGTCCGTCTTTTTTTTTTTATTCTTTCAGATAATATAATAATCACCAACACGCTAATCATAACTTTATTCCCAGCTTGTTGGCAAGAATATGTTTTTTTGCGGGGGGGAGGGGGAGTTGAGGGGGGAGGGTAGGGAGGCTAATTATAAATGAATAACTGGTAACCTTTATCGTCTATGAACATAAGTACAGTACATTGCACGGGCTATAAAATTGCTATAATTTTAATAAGAAGTAACTTTTTGACAAATTATGACAACGTTTTCGCTAAAAAAAAAGAACAAGTGAATTTGTAAGTGTCAACTGTGCAGGAACGAAAAAGAATCCCTACAAAATGGCGCTATTTTAAGAAGTCGTTTAAAAACCCTTCAGTGAGGAAGTTCGTCCGTTCCCGTGCTCGAGACAAGTGTCAATGCCTTATCACTGTACTAAACCTGCAAGCGTCCTCGGTGCATATTTTGTATAAAAGTTTAACTGTAACTCGAGGTGCGACTTTTTCGGTGAACCTTCAAACTTCTAGCAAAGTTAAACGAAGTCCGACTTTTAAACAGCGTTGCCGGACTTCTAAAACAAATACTCGAAATATATTTTTAAGGGGGAAATGAAGGAAGTTCGTTAAGCGGTGGTTTATTTCATAATTCGCATAATACAAAAACATACACACACACACACACACGCAAGCTTTCAATTGTTTAGTTGTGTTGCCGGACTTTTGCACAAATATTTGGGATACTTGGGGTAAAAAAAGTAATTTATGTGTTTTTTTTTATATCACATAAGTCAAAATAATAAAAAACGAACATGTAAATGTTCAATTATTTAGTTTGTTCTTGAATTTTAATTTTCCGCGTATGCGTATAATCTTCGGTCTAACTTCGGGATCAATGTTGAAAAGAAGTCAAATTGAGTTGAAGCTCGTCAGACTCTCGACATACCTAACCGTAACTGTAACCATAAGTTACATTTAAGGGTAACTTGTAACCAGACTTCTACGCAAGCCATTGCACAAGTAATCAAATTATTTGTAATCGATTACGTTTTGGAGTTTTTTGTAGCCATTTGAATACATATGTTAGGAAGTAATCTCGAGAGTATTGGAAGTAGTCAGATTACTCGTAATACCGTAACCATTTTTCCCTCCCTTCTCTAATGGCTTCCTTTGTTTCTACAAGTTTCCTACCGAGGAATCATCGAATTAAGTCTTCGACTGAAGGATAGTTTATGGTTCGGGGATTCTAATCGTATGATGGATAGCGCGAAAGAACCGGTCTTTTGTTTCTACAAGTCTGAAGTAATTTGGAGTAACGGCCAATTACACTTCTCCAATCGAGTAATAAAATAATCTAATTAAATATTTCTTAATTGACTGATCGTAATTGTAATCGACTACTTTTTTTTGAGTAACATGCACGAGATTGCTTGTAACTTAGATCACTTACAGTTACTTGAAAAAATTGTCGGCATAAGCCCCAAATTTACATTTATTTAGTCATAACGACAAGAACGACCTTACCCTTTCCAAAAATTGCAACAGTGCAAAAAAAAAAAAATCTTCTCTAAAAAACAAAAAAAAAAAAAACAAGAAAAAAAAAACCCGCCTAGGTGAGACTTTTTCGGCGCTCGAAATATTTTCATTCTTTGTTCCCAGCGGTGCAAAAGTCCACTGGCCATCCTTTCCGGCCTGTCGCCTCCTCCCAGGCACATGACCTCAGAAAGTGGCGTCAAAGAAGTGAGTTGCATGTGTAGTCGCCGGCAGCTTAACAACTCATTATCGGTCCTCGGCCAATCAGATTGCGGCATGGGCCGACAAGACCGCCGGAGAGCCAATCACGAAGCAAGAAGCGCGAAGCCACGCCCCTGCGTTCCTTAAGTTGTTGGTGGTCGCAGACCAACCTAACTCTCTGATGTCATACCACGGCGATGGCGCTGTTGTCGGCACTGCGCATGCGCAATACCCTCCCCTTAAAAAAAAACTTAAAAAAAAAACTTCAAAAATTAAAAAAAAATCTTATGGGAGGCAAAATCTTTCAGAAAAGCAGCTAGGGTAGATGGCGTTGTACCGCGTTCTAATTTCCCGTTGAAACTGTCGCTTTCACTGGGCTATAAACGAGTTATTTGAAAGTCATCGTGTTATCGTAATTAGTTGCAATTTCAGGAACAAAGTGGTGCTTTCTAGGTTGCAGCGAAGTTCCGGCGCGTCCGCAGTGACGATATTTTGCAGCATTCGCGGGAAGGCTACTCTAAGTTCAGTAGCGCGCGTCACTTCCTGTCGGAGTAACTTGGTTACGCTATTTGATTATTTATTTTTAGTAACTGACACAACGCCGATACATTACTCATCGTGGTCACTGTGCTAGAGATCTTCAAGAGACACGAATTGGTGCATTTGGGTGTTCTTCCGGATGGCAAACTTCTCGCTTCGCATCTCTCGGTCTTTGTTTATTTCCTGTTACTGTTGTTTTTTTTTGTTTTTTTTTTTTTGTTAAGTTCGTAACTGTGGTGTCATCTCTATTCCGCTGAGGTGTTCATTGATCTTTTAATCGAATCAACACCTCAGGCGAATCGATACGTGAGCTTGTCACATCATTTCGCTAGTACACAATGCTCATGTCATCGTATTACACGGCAACAAGAAGGCTAGTTGAGCTTGCCTTCCTGCGTTGCCCTCGGCGCCTTCACCTTTGCGTAGCTTCTGATGCGAAAGTTTCTGTAACTGTGAAGATGAGGCCTGATCGCAACTACATCACTTTCACAACTCTGATATTATTACGCCATAACTAGCTGAACCGCGTGATCTACCGAGTTAGGATAATAAGCGCGCTCTGGAAACGCCTAGTCATGGGCAATACTAAAAAGAATGTCATAAAATAATAATTATTATGGCCCTACATCTTCATAGTTCTGTGTCGCAATCCTATAGGCAAAAAGATTGCTCACTCGGAGATGTGGACATACCTGCACGCGCAGTATTGAATATTACCGAGCTTAGTATGGCACCGTTGAAACAGTTGTGATGTAATTAAGATGGTTTGTAAATACAAAATAGGTAAAATGAAAAGAAATTTGGACTCACCATACTAGGAAGAGGCTGAGCGCGAAAATCCGTCTTGGCATTTTAGCACAACACAAAATGACGCTCGTAGAAAATCCCAGTCGCAGAATCACAACCAACTGCTGTCGACCGCAGGTCCAGTAAAGGAAAAAAACAAAACAAAACAAAAAACAATAAATATAGATTAAAAAAAAAAAGACAAGGTAGGGGTTTCTCCACTGGTTCCAGACCACAGTGCCGAAAGTCTCAGCACCTCTTTTTGTTGTTCCTTCTTGCGGCGATGTTCCGTCGGAACGACGTCAGTCGAATTCGGCCCACCGCATACTGTGAGCTGTGTCGATGTCGCGCGCGATGCAAACACTGCGCCGGTAGCCTGCCTCGTTCCTTTCGGAACGCTTCAAAGGACGCGATTGGTTGCCGCCGAGCGTTTTATATGACGCGCCCCTCGTCACGTGACCCCAAAAAAACTCAACGGCGCGGGAGGAGAAGAGGAGGAGAAGGACGCCTAGACCTGCTCGCGCGCGCGCGACCGTTTGAAGCGAGCGACGACGGAACCGTGAAAGCAGCGAACGACTTCGGAAGGAGAAGAAAGGCTTTGGATGGGGATTGCATGCGGGACAGTTCGCGTAGTGCACTCTGAGGAAAGCGCGCGAGTTCTCTTTCCCGCAGAAAAGCCAAGAGGACCCACGCGTATGACGAACGGTAATCTTTCCATCCGCGCTTTCGAACAGCCAGCCTTGCGCCATTTGCAGAACTAATGATGCCTTAGCCCCCCCTCCATCGCGCTTCCCAGCCGCCTGATTTCCTCCCGAAATTCTCCGATGTAGTGTTTTTCGACGGCGCTCAGCAGGTTTCTCAATTGGAATGACGGGATTATATTTCGCTAATTAACAAATTATAGTTCCCCCGCGTAACCCACGTGCTTAAAGTCCTCCCAAACTTTACTGGCTTAGTGGTTTTTGACGGCGCCTAGCAAGTTTCTAACTAAAACTACATGATTATTTTAATTAATTAAAAAACGCAATTAACAATGTATAGTTAATTATCCCGCTTATCGTGAATATTAGCCCTGTAGAGTCTAGAGTATGTCCGCCCGTGCACTAGTGGAAAGTACACTTTTTTTATAACGCACTTTCCACTATTTTTGTTTTTGTTTTTATCTCTTAGTAAATTTCTTTAACATCTTTCGTACGCGAATGTTCGAGCGTTCGAGCACTTCCCTATGATTTGTTCCAAGGACCCACTTCGACCAGGTCTTAACGCGAAGTTCGATTAAAGTTCGACTGTTATGCGCATGTGCGGAAATATAGATTTTTACTAAATGACCCAAGCACCAAGGAGCATGTTGCGAGTGTTGTTACAAGCGCCGCGCTTGCTGCCGTCTGCAGGAGTAACTTCTCTAAAGCAAAAACCTAAAACAAATAGCATCTTGCACGCGTCGACGCCTTATTTTGGTTATTTACTTCCATTCTTGTATACGGGGAAGGCGAGCGCACGCCACGCGTGTACCTACATTCCCAGCATTCTCCTCGATACTTGGGAAATTTAGCAAAGGTCCATTGAATGCGAACTGACGCCGCCTGACGGAGGAAGAGTTTAAAATTTATTGGGCGTGCTGTTTTGCTTAACATCTAACTATATAATTAAAAGCCAATATCACGTCAAAACTGTTGTCGTTATTCCCTGATATTTAACACAAGTTATATAGTGTTTCATTTATTTTACGGCGGTAGCCGTTACTGACGAGATTTCGCAGTGGACCCCGCGTTTTATGTACGCCGAGGCCCGATAAAGTTAGCCTGAAATTTTTTCCGCTAAATTTAACGGGGATTTACGGTGTCGGAGTATTGTGACGTCACGGTTTCCCGTGACACCGGGTCGCACGACGTAGCGATTTTCCCGCTAAACTTAGCGGACATATGTCGTTTTCTTTTCGCTAAATTCAGCGAGAAGTTTTCTCTGCTAAACTTAGCGGAAATTTAGTGTCACGTGACATCATGGTGCCACGTGATGTCACGGCTTCACGTACGTGACGTCACGTGAACACCGTCTGCTAAATTTAGCGGGACATGTAAGTTCGCTAAGTTTAAATAGGGCAGTGCCTAAACCGCAGTCATATTATGAACCATGTCTACTTTATATATACCTATATGATTAGATTGATTATACCTATATGATTGGTCGTATACAGGGCGTTCCTGAAAACATTTACAGGGTTTTTTTCACCGCACAAAATAAACTACGAATCGCCGAAAGCTCCCTCTCCGCCCAAAGGTTAGCCCTAGAGGTCCGAACCATGATGCCAAAGTTTCAGCGCGAAGCGATATTTTTATTCAAAAGTTATAAAGGATCTTCTTAAAATGTCAATGGGAAAAATGGTGGCGGACGGAGCTCTCCAACACATGGTGCTCTATGGCGCCAGAAGCCGAAAACGGGCGAAAAGGAGCCCCATTTTCCCATTGAAATTTTCAGCAAAATCACTTATACCTTTGAATAAAATATCGATTCGTGCTGAAACTCTGGCATGTGGTTCGGACCTCTAGCACTACCTTTTCTGCGGAGAATGAGCGTTGGCCCATGCATAATTCATATTTGTGGTTGAAAAGAAACCCTGTACTTTCTTTCTTTAACACCCTGTACAAGGAAGAAGCACACCTCGGACATTGCCTGCACAGCTCCTTCCGCGGCTTTCGTGAACTCCACTCAAACGCTTTATCCGCACAGTAACGAAGTATCTTCGCAATCTCCGCGTTCGCCTCTGGCGCGTCTTGGTGTATACGCTCATATCTTTGACAACCCGGCAATGTCTAGCAGCGGAAAGGTCGGTACAGGGCCAATCAGCCGTTGTAACCCGGTAGCGCGTGCCGCTTAACACTTTGAGGCGGATCGGAGGGCAGCCGCGTCTCTGACTGCTTCTGGAAACCTTTGATCTTGCATCGTTTGGTTTCTTTCTTCCAGACGACGTTAGGGTCTCAGAAAAGGGTTGCCGCGCATCGTTTGTGACGATCGTTCTCCGAGACCGCATTCCAACGACGCTCATCATCCACAACCGGTGCCCCTGAAAAGGGGTCACGCGGATAGCTTTCGATGTCTCTCCAATCTAAATGGCGCAGTCAAAGGTGACGGGACTCTTGGTTCATCCGAAACCTCTTTCGATGTTTTCCTCGTGGTACGAGTGTTTTTTGTTTGTTTTTCTCCCTTTCTCTTCGTGTTTTTTGACTGGCCGACCGCCTCTTCCAGCGTCTCCTCAGCTCTATGAAACGCACTGCTACTCTACGGTGCAAGCAAATAAAAAGTTTCTAAGACGGTTTTTAAAAGGGCTTGACAAGAAGCTGAAACCGGGCGGCGTTCGGGAACATCGCCGCGAATTTGCTTTGCGAAAGCAATGGCTTCTTTGATTCGATTTTGCTCGCTCTACGATATTAAACTAACCACCAATCCTCCCTCTCCCTTTCTTTCTGTTTATTTCAATCTCTCTTTTTACAACGGCAGTTGTCATTTGCGAAATCCGGCAGCGTCCGTACGTAAAAACTCGCGTGATTGCAGGGGGCGCGTCGTCATCGTGCAATCGCGCTGCCCCATCGCCGTCCCTCCTCGCTCCTCGCACACTGATCAAGACGCGCTATTGCACCCCCCCTCCCCCCCCCCCCCCCCCCCCGCGCCTCACCGCCGCCCACACAGCAGTACCTCCGAAACCGCCGTCGGAGATTCGGGGTTCTGGAAAGTCCTCCAGCGCGTCTCCACAATGCAATGAACCAAAAAGCCACGTTCTACAAAACATTTCAACCAAAAAGCACATATCGGCGTCCTTTTCTCGTCAAGTGCACATATCGTAAAGGCATTCCGCAAAAGCACACGTCCCCTAAAGCTCAACTCCTACAACTATTCTACCATTAAAAAAAATATATAATAAAAAAGAAATCGTAAAGCACATGGATTAAAAGCGAATCTCCTGAAGCGCACCTTTCAACAACGCAACAGTTACCGCCGATGTCAATCGCAGCACAATATCTGCTGTCGGCTATTTTTTTTTTTCTTCGTGTTAGATCAATTATCACCTTCTAAAAAGCGACGCCGCACGGCTGGCAGCGTCCTTCACGCCACCTATACCGGTGGCCAGCGCATAGCATGATTGGACACGAATGCTGCACGTCAGCATTCGGCCGGAACTTGGGTCCAATCAACGAGGACACGACAGCCTGCCGAACAATGACGCAGCATTCGTGTCCAATCTATGCCGTGCGCTGACCGACTATAGGTGATGTATCAACCCCTGCGGCCTTCCTGTTATACTTGGTTAGGATATATGGTGCCTGGAACGCGTCTCCGACCGGGTTTGTCTGCCTCCCTCGTCAAGAGCGGTCCTTCAATTTCCGCCTGATGACGTCAGAGAAGTGTCACGCTGTCGCCGACCACGATCCTGGCGGCGTCGCAGCAGGGGTGGTGGATGTGGCAGACGCCTGTTCTACTGCAGGTCGCTCACTATAGCGTGACAGTCCACGGACGTTTCGGCAGCCAGAAGTTGGGACGCCGCGACGACAGCGACACTCGCGTTCGCTCGTGCTTTTCGCCAGCGTTTCTACGACCAACCGCCAGGATCGCGACATCCGGCAGCATGGCATCCGGCTTTTTGTGACGTCATGTGTGGCCACTTCGGGACAACTTCCGATGCATGGGCGGAATCGAACGCTAAACACACCAGCACTCGGAGACGCGTTCCAGGCAGTGTAGTTAGGCTAACTACCAGCTTCTCTCGCCTCCTCAGAACAAAGAGGAAATAAACGCGAAACTTACATGCAGTTTCTGATCAACCGAGTGACTGACCAGATAATCGCACTTTGGTTATTATTATTATCTGACTACATAGCAATCTTCTTTTTTTTTTGCGATTGTTACATTATGAGTTTATGGAGTCAGTCACGAAAGCTCTAATGCTGTGATGGTATGGCGCACGAGCGCAAGCCAAGAAAACTAAAATGCAGTTCATCATGACGTGCCAGTTATATTTGTTTCGCTTTACAAATTTTATGTAAAAAGTTTCCTTTATTTATTTATCATCGTT